TCGGCCCTCACTGGCGCTCCACTCGCGCCATAATACGAGCACACGGGAGAATCTACGAAGCAGCACTCTGCGCCGAAATCCATGCCGAGCAGCAGGACATGGACCTGCAAGAAGAACGACATAAGAAGAAAACGTCAGTACCAGAGTTCGCGTTTCACACCCAGCAACGCTACAATAACAACAACAGTCGACAGCAACAACAACCGAAGCCAGTACCTCCGTTTTGCCACATCTGCAAGACTTTAGGGCATCCTCATATGCACTGCCCGTATCGTCATCAATCGACAACACCACAGCGACAACTTCGACCTTCGAGCAGCCAAGTCACTTCAACACAAGCTACCCCGACACCTTCAGTCCAAGCTTCAACGACTCCAACAGGACAACCTGCACAAAAAGCAAGAAACATCGTCAACTGCATGGTAAAGATAACAGATTCCTGCACAACCGAGTCACCACCATACTACTCACCAGAAGAGCAACTCGACAACAGCACGCCTCGCCGCGAGTCCCTTCAACCAAACCCGACGTACGCCGCCATTGCTCAAAGCGAACCGTCCGGGAAAGATACATGGTTCTTGGACAGTTGCTGCGGACAGCACATGTGCTCTTCGGGACGCTTCGTCCAACGCGAACATCGACTTCAACGAGAGGTCGTCATCACAGTCGCCAACAACCAGAACCTGCGCACACGACGACAAGGAGTAGTACAACTTCAGTCATGAGAGACAAATGTTATACTGCATATGTCAAAGGTACTAATCGCGGAGGGACTCGGCTACAACCTACTGAGCGTCAGCCAGTTGATGGCGAAAGGCATTCACTTGGAAGCCGACAGTACCACCCAGGAGTTCAAATTATACCACGGGAAAGGCAGCCTCTACATCGGGAAGGCGGTCTTGAAGAACAACGTCTTCGTCCTATACTTCGTCCCAGACCTGGGCACTGCAGACAGCGACGCCATCGTGAACTTCGCCGACTGGACACATCCTCCGGATCTTGATCCGGACTTGAGCCCGGAAGGCTTCTGGTACTCGCACACCATCCCTGAAGCAGAAAGAACACGCGCGTTAGCAACAATTCAACATTCGGCAGCAGCAGAAACAACATCGGCAGCAGCAGAAACAACATCGGCAGCAGCAGAAACATCATCGGCAGCAGCGGAAACATCATCAGCAGCAGCAGAGATAACATCGGCAGCAGCAGCATGACCAACAACACCAGTCCTCGTCAACGAAACACCACCAACACCCGCACAGCAGTTGAAACCAACTCAACGAGAAGTCCACAGAAGCGCAAACTTCGTTGCCAGCTTTTACTCCAACTCCGACGCGTATCGACGCTCACCCGGACACCGCGCCTCCGAAGACATATGGCACGCACGAATGGGACATCCAAGCAACACAGTGTTAAATAACACGATAAGAGCAGGAGTCCTAGACAAGGACTCATTATTACTACCCGACGGCAGAGAACTCCAACGGGCACGAGGGACTTGTCTTACCTGCCCCGAAGCCGACTTACCACATCGACCGTTCACTCCTCATCACAACCCGAGCGCACCTGCGTACACACCACTCGAGAAGGTGTACAGCGATATTCTCTTCAATCGAGAACCAGGACAAGTTACCTACAACTACACGATTACCTTCATCGACGCCGCCACTCGATACGTCTGGCATCTAAATCTACCCAGCCGAGACATGGCACTCGCAGCGTTCGCCGCCTGGCTACCAGTAGCAGAAAGAGAGTCGGGACCACAGCTGAAAAGCTTCCAGTCAGACGGAGGAGGAGAATACACCTCTCAGCGATTCAAGCAGTACCTGGCGGAAAGAGGAATCAAGCAATTCCTCTCCCTTCCCTACGCCCATCAGCAGCAAGGTGTCGCAGAACGAATGAACAGGACTCTGCAGAACAGCATGCGCAAACTGTTACGTGGCATGCGGCTACCCAACCACCAGTGGCCTGCAGCAATGGACCATGCTGTCATGCTGCACAACTTGATGTCGTCGTCCTCACTTCCGAACAACGCATCACCGCATCTGCTGTGGACAGGGATACAGGGCAGCACAAAAATGTTAAGAGTTTTCGGGTGCATGGTACAGTACCGACCCCCAGAGGCACGAGCGGGAAGATTTTCACAACGCGCACAGTGGGGACTACACCTCGGCATCGAAAAGAATTACAACGCGTGGAAAATCTTCGACGTCCACTCCAAGGAAACAGTAGCAGCACGTGATGTGATCTTCTACGAACGACTCACGCTTCAGACGTACCTCGCCAACTTGCACGAAAATCAGGACCCCACAAGTGGCTTTCGTGGTGACCGAGCCTTCGCCTCAGCAGCGGACGAAGCAGACTGGGACGAGCAGAACGTCGACAACGCATCACAAGAAGCTGGACCTCTCCCGTTCCGCTCCGTCAACGTCCCCATGGACGAAGAAAATCCTCGCGAAAGCGCCAACGCCGAAGTCTTCTACCACTTCGCCGACAATGGTTACGTAACACCTGCGACAGTCAACACCAACGAAGCAGAAAGAATAGGACCGAATTTCATAACCGACCCAGAAGCGGGAGATGAAGCAGCTTATCCCGAGGACACAACACTCCCCCGCTACTCACAGACTGGACTGCAGATTCTCGGCCTCGTCACCGCAGTCCACGGCCATCCTCTTCCTGAAGAGCCTGTGACGGTTCAGCAGGCTCTGGGGGGGGAACACAGGGAGAAATGGCGTGAAGCCATGGACAGAGAATTAAAGGCCTTGGAGGAACGGAACACTTGGAAAGTCGTTCCAGTTAGCGTGGCAAGGAACAAGACCATCCTCACCGGGAAATGGGTCTTCCGCATCAAAACGAAGGCAGACGGCACAATCAAGAAGTTCAAAGCACGCTGGGTCGTGCGAGGATTCGATCAGGAACACGGACGGGACTTCACCGAGACATTCGCCCCGGTTAGCCGACACACCTCACTCCGAATTCTCCTCGCGATCGCCGCCATGAAGAAAAGAAAACTACGGCAAATTGACGTTGCTAACGCCTTCCTCTACGCACCCGTCGACGCCGAAATCTTCGTTGAGCTCCCACATGGTACCCACGGGGAACCTAATCAGGTTTGGCAGCTACTGAAATCGCTCTACGGAATCAAACAGGCCCCACGGCTGTGGCAACAGCACCTACACACCCGCCTCACCCGCATCGGATTCCGTCAACTGCCTCACGACCAAGGCATGTACCGACTCACCAAAGACGCCAACTACATTCTGCTTATCGTCTACGTCGACGATTTACTCTACATCGGTTCTACCGACGACATAACTACCTGGTTCGAAAGGGAGCTGAAGAGGGACCTCACACTCACGGTCTCCACTACCGTCACTCAGTATCTCGGACTCAACATCCGCGAAGAAGAAAACGCGATCTACCTCAGCGCCGAAAAGTATGCCGACACCATCGCCAAACGCTTCGCGCTCACACCCGCTACTATCTCCACGCCATACCGCTACACGGCAGGGAACGGCAAAGGAAGCTCCGCCTTACTCAAAACCGCCGGAATACGCGACTACCAGCGAAAACTGGGCTGCCTCCTCTTCGCAGCCGTCACCTGCCGACCAGACCTGTCCTACTCCGCAAGTCAACTTGCTACCTATCTCAAGAGGCCCGAAACAGAACACCTAGCGGAACTCGACCGCGCTCTTCACTATTTCGTGAGCACCGCAACGATCGGCCTGACGTACTACAAAAACACAACTACGCCGACGAAACTAATCGGCTATGTCGATGCCGATCACGCTGGCGACTCAGATAACAGGCGCTCCCGCACTGGCTACATCTACCGCCTCGAACATATCGGACCTATCTCCTGGCAATCGAGCAAGCAGGAACTAATTGCTCTCTCTTCAGCTGAAGCAGAATATATCGCCCTCTGCTCAGCCACCAAGGAAGGACTCTACCTTCGCGAGCTGCTGGAAGAAGCGAAGTTAGCCGAGTTACCCAACTTCACTTTGTTCTGCGACAACCAATCTGCAATTCGCATCGCCAACAAGAGCGGATTCGCGAACAGAACGAAGCATATCGCCCTGCGATACTTCTTCGTGAAGGACGAGATCGAGAAAGGGAAACTCAAACTATCCTACTGTCCCACGTCCGAGATGGCAGCTGACTACTTGACCAAGAAGCTCGGAAAACAGAAGTTCGAGTACTGCATGCTGCTGACTGGACAAAGCCACGTCACCATCAGCGACACTCCAGAAGCGAAGGGGAGTGTTGGGAACAAATAGTTTAAGCGCCTCTGTCGTGTCAGAACTCAAGACACAAGCGAAGCAGCTCAAATCGAAGCATGGCGAGTCAACCCTCGGAAGTTAACGTAACCGCTGGAGGTTACGAGAAAGTCAAAGGTCAGCGACCTTTGACTTGACGCACCGCGACAGCAAGGACACACAACTGACTCGACATTGAGCAGTTGCCCGAGTCGCACTGTATCGAACCGCAACAGTAAAGTAGTCATAATGTCTCTTCATATTCTTTGTACTCATATATTTATTCCTGTATCTCTTTGCTTCAATTAACTTACTTTGCCCTCACATACTAGCGCAAGGTGGTTCAAGGACTTTATTCAACGCTTCCGCTATTACATCACTTACTCAGACTTTAACTCTACAAAGATCCTAGGGCTTTTCAGCCCAACAAACATCTCGCAAATGTGTTCATTTACTGACGGCATTGCCTGATAGATGAGAGCTGCTGCTGATCACACTGACAGCATTCGTTCAAACTGTGACAGCCATGGCTCCCTTGTTGACCACTCCATCAAGAATATCATTAAGCGCATGGCACAAACTGGCAATCTGCAGCATGATACATTGCACACAGGGCGGGCGTGAGACATAGCACACAGGGCAGGCATGAGACAGAGCACACAGGGCAGGCATGGGACAGAGCACACAGAGCGGGCGTGAAGCAATGAGAGCTTATCTGATGCATGCAGATGTGATTGTGTGTACCTGCTGGTCCCACTGCTGCAGGTCATCCGTGTCGTTGTCAAAGTGAATCACCGCCTCCACCTGGCATGGCCGACAGGGTTGACACGCGCACCAGGGAGCGACGGGTGAAGGGTGGCCGGGAGAGAGCAGAGAGAGGGGTGGCAGGGAGAGCGGGGAGCGAAGGGCGGAAATCTTTGCAAATTGCTGCTGCCACCTTATGGCGAGCACTTCAGGACGGGATGGAAAGTGGGAGGTGAAGAGTTGGGGCGGGAGAGGGGGGAGAGCAAGGGAGAGGGATGGAAGAGTAGCAAGTGCAAGGTTGAATAATACTGCAGATGATTGAAAGGCGACGAGTGTGCTCACTTGAAAGGCTCCCCTAGCCTTAAGTGTCTCACAGCAACCTTAAGCACCATTCGTAACCTTGCATGCATGCCCTCTGAATAACTACCCGCACGATGCTGCCTCACCTCAGCGTTTGTGCCTCACCTGCACGATGCTGCCTCACCTGGTCGATGCTGCCTCACCTGGTCGATGCTGCCTCACCTGGTCGATGCTGCCCTTCATCCTGTCCTCCGATATCATGCGCGCCGCCACCTTCTCCGCCTGCCCCACGCCACCCCACCCCACAGGTGGGTCGGGATACAGGAGGAGGAGGGCAGAAGACGGTGTGTTGAGTCTACAGGGGTGGGAATGATTGGACGGCTTATGACTGGAGTGGATGGACGGCTTATGACTGGAGTGGATGGTTGCAGGCATGACGGGATTTGAACGCAGAAATGGGAGCACCAAGTGTGGTGCAGAGAAACTCAACGGTGTAGGCAGACCATGTTGCTCTGTGACACGGCAGTGCGGAAATGAAAACTCACATGCATGGAGCACAGTGCACGTTCGTCAGTTGCATAATGCATGGTGCAAGATGCATGGTGCAGAATGCATGGTGCAGAATGCATGGTGCAGAATGCATGGTGCAGAATGCATGGTGTATGGCGCATGACGTGTGGTGCCTTGCCATCACCCACAGCAAGCCACCCAGCAGCACACAATTCCCCCGACACCCCACTGCCCTCACACCCCACTGCCCTCACACCCCACTGCCCTCACACCCCACTGCCCTCACACCCCACTGCCCTCACCATCCAACCCCCCTCACACCCCACTGCCCTCACCATCCAACCCCCCTCACACCCCACTTCCCTCACCATCCAACCCCCCTCACACCCCACTGCCCTCACCATCCAACCCCCCTTACACCCACCGTGTGCGGGGCAATGCCCAACAGAGCACCCAGCTCTTCAAAGCTGCGCACGTGATGGATCGGGAGAGGTGCAAGGGGAGTGGAGGGGGGTAAAGAGGGGCCAGAGGAGGGATGGGGGCAAAAGAGGAAACATATCCGATTTCAGGTGGGACTCTACCCTGCGGCAAGGCGGTGCGGCAGAAACTTAATCAGTACAGCTCACCTGATGTTGGTGTACAGCTTGCTGCTCATTTGTTGGTTAACTCACAAATGAGGTAGGCGAGTGTGCAGCAAGGATGCTGATTCCTCACCTGATGTTGGTGTACAGCTTGCTGGCGCTGAGCAGGTTGTGCTCTATCACTGCCCGGTCCAGCACCGTTGACCCCCCTGGTAGCACCGCTTTCTGCACCGCAGGCAGGCAGGGAGTGAGAAAAGCATGGCTTGGATGAATGATGGCAGCATGTGCGTGACAGGAGGGTGATCATGCAGCGATTGTATAATATGCTTTTGAACCGAAGGTGCATAGAGAAGCAACTCACCCGATGGCGGTTCAACTCATTTCACCTCACCTGGTGCAGTTTCAGCAATATGAATACTTATTACATCCATAAATATCTACGACGAACATTATGGTATACATTATGTACCTACCCATTGTTATATATAATGTGGTATACATGAGCTGTACGGAATGTGCACGTACCTGATGCGGCTTGAGCTCCTTGGCAAATGCCTCCACCTCGGGGGATCGCAGGATGCGCTCCAGATACACCTGCACGGCGAGGGGTGGACGGGCGGCAAAAGGCGGTGGCGCGGAGGCAAAATGGGGTAAGGAGGGCGGTGGGAGGGGGAATGTGGAGGACGGCAGTGAGAGAACGGGTGGGGAGGAGGGGCAATAACGGGGGAGGAGAACTTCAAGTGGAAGTGACAACAGGATTTAAGGCAGAGACACCAGAGAGGGGCGAGAGCTGCAGGGAGAAACGTGGTTGCTGCACCGAGAGGCAGAGCGGCAGTAAGGCGCAGGGAGGACGAGGCACAGGTGATGGAGTTGTTGCAGGGATTATGGTAGGTGGGTTGCGACAGTAAGGACGTAAGAGAGAAGGAGAGCAAGAGAACAAGATGCAAAGGGAGTAAGAGAGCAAGGGAGGGGCGAGGCGATGCAGACCTTCTGCAGAATGGGGTAGATCTTCAGCTTGCTGCAGCGCTCGTCCTGATGGGTGGCGCCGTGGCATGGCACCATGCACACACACACGCACACGTCACGCACACAGTCGAGAGACTTAACACAAAACAAACATCACTCCTGTTCCTACTGCAAAACGCCCAGTCGAGAGACCTGTGAGTAATTAAGTCTTGCGCGTCAGGTGCAGTGCAGTACAGCATGCATAACAAGCTCGCATAGGATTTACAGACTTGCTGCACCATTACACCTGACACTGAGTAAGTGGCACATCTAATAGAGAGTGGCACCTTATAGAGCGTGGCGAGCATGCGGGAGCGCTGGGGGCCGGCAGCAGCGAGGATGGTGCAGGTGACAGCGGCGTTCAGCACCGCCTCCAACTCCTCCTCATCCACCTGCCTGCGTGCGTCACCCGTGCACGCAACAACAAGCTACGTCAGTATGCATGCGTTCAACATGGGTTTTGCAAGACAGCACATGTGAATGCAAGCATGCATCAACATCAAAATTCAAATAGGTGTTTTTGTGAAGAAAAACAGCAAAAGCGGGGAAACGGACAAAGTGTGGAAGATGGGGCGCAGTGTGAAGTTGGGTGGTTCACCTCTCTCCATTCCTGTTGTTCTTCTCTCCCTCCCTCCACCTCACTCTCCACACACACATATGAAAACAAAACCACTCACTTGACTCACTTGTGACCCACCCGCACAGCTTTCGCCCACAAGCCACTCAATTGCCATCCACAAGCCACTCACTTGCCACCCACAAGCCACTCAATTGCCGCCCACAAGCCACTCACTTGCCACCCACAAGCCACTCAATTGCCGCCCACAAGCCACTCAATTGCCACCCACAAGCCACTCAATTGCCGCCCACAAGCCACTCACTTGCCGCCAAGCCACTCACTTGCCGCCCACAAGCCACTCACTTGCCGCCCACAAGCCACTCACTTGCCGCCCACAAGCCACTCACTTGCCGCCCAGCTCCCTCTGGTCCAGCTGGGAGAGGTCATAGTACTTGAGCGCAGCTTCCAGGAACTTCCTCTTGGAGTCCAGAATCCGTGCATAGCACACCTGATGGCAGCACAGAGCGCAGTGCAGTGAAACATACGAAGATGAAGGAGCACCAAGACACGATGAATCTCTTGCAGTGGAAGGTACGCATGGGCACTCGTCTACGGGTGCAACCCTGAGGTGCAACAAGGCGTGGTCACCTTGTACTGCAGTGCGAGCGCCTCACCTTGTACTGCAGTGTGAGCGCCTCACCTTGTACTGCAGTGTGAGCGCCTCACCTTGTACTGCAGTGCGAGCGCCTCACCTTGTACTGCAGTGTGAGCGCCTCACCTTGTACTGCAGTGTGAGCGCCTCACCTTGTACTGCAGTGCGAGCGCCTCACCTTGTACTGCAGTGTGAGCGCCTCACCTTGTACTGCAGTGCGAGCGCCTCACCTTGTACTGCAGTGTGAGCGCCTCACCTTGTACTGCAGTGCGAGCGCCCCACCTTGTACTGCAGTGTGAGCGCCTCGTCCTTGTGTTCGCCGATGTCGAAGGATGCCTTCTTGATGTACGTCTCCGCACTCACTGCATCGTCGTCCTGATGGGCTCATGCAAACACGCGCACACAGGCAGGCGGAAGCACACCGGCACGACAGAAACAGTCACGACTAATAGTCAGAGTAAGGCAGACAAAAAGATGCAGCAGGCAGGCAGCCTTGCTACAGTGTGCATCCGCACTCAATGCATTGATAGCTGAATGGCACACCGTGGCATGGCGCACACATGTACAGAGACCAGCTGGTGACAGATGCACAGCCACAGATGCACAGCCACAGATGCACAGCCACAGATGCACAGCCACAGATGCACAGCCACAGATGCACAGCCACAGATGCACAGCCACAGATGCACAGCCACAGATGCACAGCCACAGATGCACAGCCACAGATGCACAGCCACAGATGCACAGCCACAGATGCACAGCCACAGATGCACAGCCACAGATGCACAGCCACAGATGCACAGCCACAGATGCACAGCCACAGATGCACAGCCACAGATGCACAGCCACAGATGCACAGCCACAGATGCACAGCCACAGATGCACAGCCACAGATGCACAGCCACAGATGCACAGCCACAGATGCACAGCCACAGATGCACAGCCACAGATGCACAGCCACAGATGCACAGCCACAGAGCATAGGGCAGAGGGCAGGGGGCAGAGGGCAGGGGGCAGGGGGCAGGGGGCAGAGGGCAGGGGGCAGAGGGCAGGGCAGAGTGAGTGGGAGCACGCACCTCGAGGTAGAGCAGAGCGATCTTGATGCACTTGCCCAGGCGGTACTTCACATCCTGGCCCCTGTGGGCGGTGACGCACGGGTGTGCGGGTGATGCGCGACAAGGGCAAGCACAAAGAGAGGGGAGGGAGGTGCAGATTTGTACGAGGAAATAAGAGAAAATGCATGGAAAGAGTGAGATGCATGGCGGTGTGGTGTGCAGGGCAGGCTGTGGGGAATCGAGCATGGCACTGGCAGTACCTGCTGCCCCCATCCAGGTCGATGCCTGCGAGCATCTGAGCCGCCTTGGCCCACTCCTCCTCGCCCTCGTACACCGCTGCCAGCCCCTCTCGGATCACCGCCACCTGCTCCCACCATGCGGCCATGAGCGGGCGAACCGAGCACGACAGGCGCAACGGGCGGAGAAATGCGGAGAGAGGAGGGTGGGAAGGGTAGGCGGGCTATAGGAAGTGCGAGTAGAAGCGGTGGAGAGGGACGAAAGACGGGTGGGGGGAATACGGTAGGGACACATGCAGGCGGACGTACACGCAAGCGCACACACGCACTCCCATCCCACCGCTTCCTGAAAGCACACAGCCCTCACAGCCGCACACCCCCATGCGCACCTGCTCCTGAAACAACACGGCGTGTGGCTGGGTGTGTGCGCGGGCGTACACCGCCTCTGCCTTTTGCCGCTCCGCTCGCCCAAGCGCGCACGCGCACACACACACACAATTACACACACACTGACTCCAGCCACACCTGCTCCTCAAAGGACACGACGCGCGGCTGGATGTGCGCCAGGGCGTAGAGCGCCACAGCCTTGTGCTGCTCGGCGCGCAGCCCCCCCAGCTCGCCCGCCAGCTGCTGCAGCACCTGCCGCGCCACCACCAGGGGCACGTCCTCTGATAGCACTGCGGGCGGCAGTGCGTGCGGGGGGTGCGGGGGGGGAGGGGAGGGAGGGGAGGTGAGGCAAGATGCAGGAGGGTGAGAAGAGAGGCTGGTGGGACGGAGTGGCAGCTGCTGCAGCACCTGCCGCGCCACCATCAGGGGCACGTCCTGATAGCACTGCCGCATGGAGCGGGGACAAGGAGGGAAAGGGGGTTGAGGAGGGGGGTGACGGGTGAGTGAGGGTGGGGGAAGGGGGGGGGGGGGGGGGGGGTTAGCGGGGGGGTTAATGGGGTTTGAGGGGAGGGGTGAGGTGGGGATGAGGGAGGGGTGAAAGGGGAGTTGGTTGTGGAACGAACGAGGAAAAGTGGTGCTTAGGGGGGATAAGGGAAGGCAAGGGAAAGGGATGAGTGGGGCGTGGGAGGGAGCGGAGGGTGAGAAGAGAAGCCTGAGGCTTTTGAGAATTCTCAAAAGGAACCAAGTGCCGCAGCGCTGCAGCGAAAAGGCGTGCGGACCACCCGCCGCATTGCCCCCAGTGCACTCAGCCTCTCACTCGCCTCTAACTTGCTGCCGCCTCCGCCTTTCACGGCCACCTGGGGAGAACGGGTGGCGCGGGCTGAAGTCATCACACTTCACAACAGCACCTCATCCAATCGCAAAGAAAGGCGAGGAAACGCGTGAGACCGCTTTGCGCCACACAGAACGCTGTCTAAAGTACGTGAAACGAGGTGATTAACGGTCCCCGCAAGCAGCAGCCCGCACAAGCACCACTCGGTCGCTCGCTCGCTCCGCCCCCCAGAGTCCAAAGCACAATCCGCTACTGGCATCAGCAGTCGTCGCCGCACCCACCATCCATACCCCGTCCCACCCCCCCACGCACGCATCCCTCCTCCCCCATTCTCGCCACCCCCCGGCCTCCCGCAACCCCCCTCGCTCTCCTCTCCACCCCCTGTTCCCGCAAACCCCCCCACTCCCCGCTCCCCCCACCCCCATGGCCGCACTGTGGTCGACGAACAGCTTGGCGTGCTCCACGTCGTTGCGCGCGATGACGTCAGCGAGCAGCGCGCGGTACGCCTCCACCTTCGCCTTGGGCTCCGCCACCGCCACCACCGCGCGCAGCGCCACGCCCATGTCGCCCATCGCAGCCCTCCGCTCCCCGCGCCCCTCCTCGCTCCTGTGCTTCCCCGCGCTACTGCTCGCCCCTGCTCGATCCTATGTCCGCCTTCTCCCCCGATTGAAACTACGCCCCGCCTGCCTTCCTCTTGACTCGCTGATCAACACCTTCTCTCGACCGTCTTCCCGCGACAAGTTCTCTGGCCCTTTTCCTTCTCTCCTCTCTCACTCTGCCCTCCTCACCTTGATTTGCCCTCTACCCCGAATGTGACTTCAAAGCGGATTGCGCCTCGATTAGCTGGCTGCGCTGCCCACACGAAATCTGTAATTTAAATATAATATATTTTTTTATTTCATACAGTGTCGATGTAGTATAATGGTCAGTATCTCCGCCTGTCACGCGGAAGATCCGGGTTCGATCCCCGGCATCGGCGCGCCATACGTCTTTTGTCCTGTCAGTACCCTGGATTAGCATCTTACACCGAGAATGGAGAGTGGGATACAAGTCACTCCTCGCAGAGCAACTGTACAACGTTTCTCTTCAGTATGCACAAACATCAATGTTTATTTACAGGAACAGGTGATTCTCCAGGTGAAAACACACACAGACAAGGAATGCAACATATCTGTGGTATACAGGGGTCCAGGATTGTGCGCTATCATACTTTATTGCACTATGTTACACATCACACAACATTACAACATCACTGCATGGCCATGCCCCGAAAGGACTGATTATACCAACAAGACTACCATGCTAGTGAATGTGGGTGCAGGTGGGGAGGGAATGCGATGAGGATGTGTTGTGATACAACAGCTACGGGTGCCTCTCAAAGCCCCAAGTTTTGCGCCCATTTAGGCATTTTCCTGAGAGCTTACCACGAACCGTGTCATTCGGTTCATGGGAGACACTTGGTGGGCAAGCCTGGCAACTGGGACTGCTGCTGCTTCATCCTCCACACTGTCTGTCACCCATGCAGTCACCCAGTCGCCCAACCTGCCAGCTAGCCAGTTGCCCAGGCGGTCAGCCGTCAGGCAGTTTGGTTTTGAAGAGCACGCAGCGCTTGTCCTCGGGGAAGTAGGAGTTGCCGTCGCCGGGGTTCATGTTGACCGTCATGCCAAACACGTCCATCTCCGCCGCCGTCACCCGCAGCTTCACATACGCGTTGCGCAGTGCAAACAGGTTCTCTATTCGGTTGAACGTGCGCTGCTGCACGTCCTGTTGAGGGAATGGGAACCGAATCACACCATGAGCATACAAGGAAGAGGTGAGTACAGAATGAGGAGATGAAGCGAGGAAGAATGGGCTCTTCGCAGGTTGAGCGTGTATGCTGCACCATGCCCCATGCCCCATGCACCATGCACCATGCCCCATGCCCCATGCACCATGCACCATGCCCCATGCACCACCACGCACCACGCAACATGCACCACCATGCACCATGCACCGCCATGCACCATGCACAACCATACACAAACCACATACCACGCACATCAAACCCCACACCCTCTCCATGTGACGCACCGTGCCGGTGATATACAGCTGGTTGCCAATGTCCTGTGTCACAGCACCATCGTTCATAGCCATGGCTGCCGTTGCTGTCAGCCCCGAGCCTTGCCCACCCCCCAGGCCAGCCCCGGCCCCCTGGCCCTCGGCGCACACGATCTGCGCCTCGCCCGAGTTGCCTGCCAGCACCTGGATGTCGCTGCCCATTATACTCGTTTTAAGCTCACTCGTGGACAGCACAGCGTCGCCCTGGCGCGGCTGGATAGAGAAGGTGGGCACCTGCCCCTCGTGGCCCGCGAAGAAGAAGGCGCAGTCCGTGGGCGACGGCTGACAGCCGGCTATAGGGGGCTCGATTGGCGGGGACGGCGGAGGAGGCGGGTTGGCTGGGGGAGGGTTGTTGGGTGGAGGAGGGGGGTTCGGGGGAGGGTTGTTGGGTGGAGGAGGGGGGTTCGGGGGAGGGTTGTTGGGTGGAGGAGGGGGGTTCGGGGGAGGGTTGTTGGGTGGAGGGGGGCTTGGGGGCGGGGGTGGAGGTGGTGGAGGGGGGCTTGGGGGAGGCAGGGAGGGGGGGGGAATGGAGGGTGGGGCGATGGAGGGGGGAGCAGCAGTGGGGCCGGGGCTGTTCTCGAAGATGGAAGGGGGGGAGGTGCTGGGCTGTGCTGTGGGGGGAGGGGGGCCGTCTGGTGGGTTGGTGGAGGAGGAGTTGAACGGGGGCTGGGGCTGGCCGGAGGGCGCGGGGGAGGTGGGAAAGAGGGGGGAGGGGGAAGAGGAGGAGGTGGTGTTGGTGGTGGTGTGAGTGGTGTTGCGGATAATGGCAAGGCCTGTGGTGCCTGTGGTGGTGAGGTGAGAGAGGAGGGGGGGAAGGAGGAGAAGAGAGGTCGGCAAGTGGATAGGGAAAGTACAAGAGAGGGAGGCAGTGGGATGTGAGAGAGGGAGGCACAGCATGGCGGAGCAGAGCATGGCGGAGCAGAGCATGGCGGAGCAGAGCATGGGCCCTTAAAGCACGAATGGTGTGTCATGCGCGTACGCAAGGCACTGACAGTTGGCTTCCAGCCGTTAGAGCAGGTCCGTGTGTGGGTCAACCACAAGGTACATGTCTCTCATCCATGCATCGCCTCTCACAGCCCGCTCCCCCTGACTTACAGTTAGCATCATCCCCCTGACTTACAGTTAGCATCGATCCATGAGAGTGTATCTTTGTGCATGTCAATGACAAGGTACTTGTCCCGCATCCACAGGTCGCCTATCACTGCACGCTCTGCCTGACTGCTGGCCATGCGCACTGTGAAGCACACCACGTGTGGGCTGCTCGGCACCTGGCGAGGGCACGTTGCAGAGAGGGGGGAGTGGCTGTGAGGTTGAAGCGGTGCACGGGGAAGACAAGGAGATGCAGCGGTCAATGTTGCAACATGACACGAGGGGCCCAGGTTGCGATATCAGGAGGCGGGCTGGGGCCGTATTTGTCACTGCGCGTTGCAGCACATGCACGTTGCAGCACATGCGCGTTGCAGCACATGCGCGTTGCAGCACATGCGCGTTGCAGCACATGCGCGTTGCAGCACATGTGCTCCCCAGCCGTCTGTATCAATTAGTGAGTAGGAGGAGGGCTCAGGGCGGAAACAGATGAGCAACGAACAAGAGTGCAGTGCGGTGCGCTGTGGTGCAAAGTGATCTGACAGCTCAAGTAAGGCGTGGTATGAGGACGACCTAGTGAAGCAGCAGCAGCTTGCGGCTTGCAAACGCCACTTGCACGGCGTCAGCACAGTAGCAAGGGAGGAGGGCAGGCGATGGCTACGTTCGTGGGTTTTCAAGTCAACTCAAACGTCACCACCTGTGGGTACACGCGTAAGTTTAAAGCCGTTGGCCCAAATTGCACAAGTTTTAAAAGGTTGACGCGAGGGGGTTTTTCTGGTCTGGGTTTTGGCGAGTGATTCCGATTTCGTTTTTTTTTTTTTTTTTTTTTTTTTTTTTTTTTTTTTTTTTTCGCCAAACCCAGCCTGCCCTGGTATTTCGCCCTGGGCCTTGGTTCAGTCCCCAAAAGTCCCAAATTGCAGGCCCGCTTCTTTTCAAAGCTTGCAAACACTACTTCGTCAAGTTTAAAAAGATTGACCCGCGCGCTCCGCAATTTGGGCCGCGGGCTTTAAGTGGCGGTAGAAAGTGAGCACCTGTGGGCAGGGCACGTACGATCTTGAGGTAGTTGGTGGGCGCGATGGTGAAGTCAGCGCTGCCCTTGCCGCCCGCCAGCACGAGTGTGAGCGGCGGGAACTGCTGCAGGAACTCCGCGGGGGTCATGGATGCCCTGGGGGGAGGGGGACGGGTGGAAGGGTGGGGGTGCGGCATGGCGTGCACAATTAGAGAAGGTGACGGTGAAGTCAGCGCTGCCCTTGCCGCCCGCCAGCATGAGTGTGAGGGGGGGGGAACTGCTGTAGGAACTCCGAGGGGGTCATGGATGGATGCCCTGAAGGGAGGGGTTGAGGGAGGGCAGGTTGACAGGCGGGGGGGCAGGGAGGGGGTGGTGGTGGGTGAGAGAGATGGCTGGAGTGGTAGAATGAAGCAGGAGATGGGAGGGAGGGGATGGGATCAGGGCACTGGTAGCGCGTTGAGGGAGGAGCACCACAAGGACAAGGAGTGAAAGAGGGCATGGCAGAACAAGCAGTGAAAGAGGGCATGGCAGAACAAGCAGTGAAAGAGGGCATGGCAGAACAAGCAGTGAAAGAGGGCATGGCAGAACAAGCAGTGAAAGAGGGCATGGCAGAACAAGCGCTCTTGCTTTTCCACCAATGGAGGCCGCCCCTGCCGAGTGCTTGGTTTCTCTGACACCCCCATGGTCCCTGTTTTCTATGCTGCATGCTCCCTCTCCCATCCTCTCCCCCCTGCCCCTGCTCACCCGCACACTGCGGCACTCACTGGTGGTAGTCATTGGCGTCAAGGCAGTCCACCCCCTCCTGTGCGCTCTCCGACGACGCAAACTTCATGAGCGGGTACTGCACCAGGAACTGATGGGGGGGGGAAGGATGGAGAGGAGAGGATTCACACACCCACGCACATGCGCAGAGGGTAGAGTGGAGCGAGTGAGCGAGTGAGCAAGTGAACGAGTGAGAGAGTGAGAGTGAGAGAATGAGCGAGTGAGAGAGTGAGCGAGTGAGCGAGTGAGAGAGAGTGAGAGAGTGAGCGAGTGAGAGAGTGAGAGAGTGAGAGAGTGAGAGAGTGAGCGAGTGAGCGAGTGAGAGAGTGAGCGAGTGAGAGAGTGAGCGAGTGAGAGAGTGAGCGAGTGAGCGAGTGAGAGAATGTGAGAGTGAGAGAGTGAGAAAGCCTTTCCCTCGGCCCTTGGCCTCTGCCCTCTGCCCCTTTGCCTCCTTGCCCGTATAAGGGCCTCTAGTGCCCTGCATTCCTCATTGTTTCGTGTGTGTTGTCAGTTTTCGTGTGTGCCCTGCATTCCTTTTTTCCACCAATGGAGGCTGCCACACGCTTCTGTGCGTTCCCACACGACACATACGCCATGCACGGGGGGACGTGACAGACGGGGAGATGGGAACGAACACGGGAGGGCTTGAGACATGCTCACCTTCACAAGGAAATGAGAGACGGGGGAGGGGGGACAACGTGAGACGAGGGAGTGCACCAGTTCGAACCACTCTGAACCACTGCAAACCACTCACAGCGGTGGCGAGAGCCATGTAGGCGGGTCGGGGCAGCACGGAGGCAGCAGAGGAGGAGTCGAGTGCCGTGCCCCCAGCTCCCGTGGAGGAGAGCGGTGGGAACATGTCGGGTGTGACGACCAGGTCCGCCGTGCCCAGACGCATGTCCTTTATCTTCACATACACCAACGCACTGATGTCACGGGCCACGGAAGGGGGTGGTGGGTACACAGGAGGCTGAAGGGTGCACCCCCCACATGAGCTTGTGCTTTTGCACTTGTCCCCACATGAGCTTGTGCTTTTGCACTTGTCCCCACATGAGCTTGTGCTTTTGCACTTGTCCCCACTCGTGTGGGCCTCGGCTTGAGGGTCGCACTCAACGGACGAGTCTCTGAAAAAGCACACACAGCCTTGCACTGCCGGCAGCAACACACACCACCAATCACGTCACCCGCCCTCACGTCATCCCAATGCGAGGCAAGGCAAGCCACCTGAGGCTGTTCTTGTACACGCGGGTCGACCCGCTAGCAGGCCCGGCGTCAGTGGTCCCCAGCAGCAGGTGGCTGCCCCCCCCAGCAGCAGCGGCATCGTCCCCCTCCAGGCACAGTGCGAAGCCCGCCCGCGGCACCACCCCGCTCTCCGCCAGCTGGGAGAGCGGCGAGAGCGGCCCCGTGCCCAGCCCCAACACGCCCCCTGGCGCACCGTTGTCCGTCGCCAACACTCCTGTTTGGTACCGCCCGCAGCTGGGGGGAGAAAATGGGGGGAAGAGGGGAGTGGCACCAAGGGAATGAGAGGAAGTGGGAAGATGGGGGGAGACAGCGCCCCTGTGCCCAGCCCAGCACGCCCCCTGGGGCACCGTTGTCTGTTGCCAACACCCCCTGGGGCACCGTTGTCTGTTGCCAACACCCCCTGGGGCACCGTTGTCTGTTGCCAACACCCCCTGGGGCACCGTTGTCTGTTGCCAACACCCCTGCTTGATACCGCCCCCAGCTGACGACGGAGGGAGGGTGGGGTGGGGACGGAGGGATGGGGTGGGGGAGGGGGGAAGGGTGAGGAAGGGGATGGAGTGGGAGGGGCAGTGAGAGTGTCCCGTTTTGAGTCGACTCAAAACACGAGCGTCCCCGCGCCCAAGCCCAGCACGCCTCGTGGGGCGCTGCTCTCTGTGCCCAGCACGCCTCGTGGGGCGCTGCTCTCTGTGCCCAGCACGCCTCGTGGGGCGCTGCTCTCTGTGCCCAGCACGCCTCGTGGGGCGCTGCTCTCTGTGCCCAGCACGCCTCGTGGGGCGCTGCTCTCTGTGCCCAGCACGCCTCGTGGGGCGCTGCTCTCTGTGCCCAGCACGCCTCGTGGGGCGCTGCTCTCTGTGCCCAGCACGCCTCGTGGGGCGCTGCTCTCTGTGCCCAGCAGCCCTGACTGATGGCGCCCGCAGCTGTGAGAGGGGGAGAAAACGGGGAGAGGGGGTAAGAGCGGGGAAGTAGGGCAATCGGTGGGAGAGGCATGGCGTTGACAAGCGTGACGAGCAGCGAAGCACACAAGCACGCATGGCACCGCGCCCGCATGCACACCAACCCCAAGGTGACAGCACATGTACCCGAAGGTGAGGTTGGGCGCGAGGAAGCTGCCGTCTTCTAAACTCAGATGCACCTCGTCGCGCACCAGGTTGCCCGCTGAGCTGCCCTGGGGGGAGCTCGACACCAGCGAGTACTGGCACGTGGAGTCCGGCGTGGGTAGGTCCGGTGCAATGCTGCAGCCCACTGAGAGCGAGCGGTCGTCCGCCCAGGCGGAGCAGGAGGAGGAGTCGCACGGCATGGTGGTGAGCGTCGTGGACTCCGCCGGCTTGAACGGCGTTGGCTGGAGGGGTTGGGAGGCAGAGAGTGGGCAGAGGAAATGGAGGGATGGGGGCGAAAGGCGCAGGTAGAGAGGGGGGCAGGGCAGGGGGTGAGAGGTTGGCGGGCCGGGTGGAGCATGTGGAGGAGTGGCAGGGGGTGGTGGCGATGTGGGCGTGTGTGCAGGGCTGTGCTTACCGTGGCGGAGGAGGAGGGTCCATCGGTGCAGCGCACGCAGTCGCAGGGCAGCCAGAGCAGGTCGCTGGCCATGTCCACCACCACGCTGAACGCCTGCTGTGATGACCCCACTCTCACCTCCGTGTGGTACCTGGTTGGGGGGGGGAAGAGAGGGGAGAGGAGAGAGGAGAGGGGAGGGAAGAGAGGAGAAGGGGGAGTGTCGGGGGAGAGACAGGGGAGAGACTGGGGGAAAGCGATGAGTGAAGGGTAGGCAGAGCAGGTGGGGCGCCGTATCGACCAGAGCAGGTGGGGCGCCGTATCGACCAGAGCAGGTGGGGCGCCGTATCGACCAGCACACTGCATGATTGCTGGGATGACCCCACTCGCGCCCAGGTGTCGTACCTGGTGGGGGGAGGGGGGGAGGGGGAAAGTAGGGTCGTGGGGAAGCGCAGGTGGGAGGCCTATCCTGGCCAGTCTAAGTGGGACGCCGTGTCCATCATGCCATCATGCCATCATGTCATCATGCTATCATGCCATCACGCCCAATCCATTCCTCACCACCCACCTGCGCTCATCCATATGTCTTCCCCCACCATCCCTCCCCCCTTCCCTGTCGCCGTATAGCCCTCTCCACGCCTCCATGCGTTTCCTTCCACCCCAACCCTCCCGCCCGCCCATCCCCAGCCGCACCACTTCCTCCCCTCCCCCCTCCCCCCTCCCCCTCTCCCCACCTGTCCGCGCTGCTGCGGGGTGGCGCGATGGTGACTTCAGCGCGAGAGACGGCGGCCCTGAACTCCGCGCTCAGTGCGGGGTCGCGACTCGCCCCCACAGCCGTGTACATGGTGGTCTGGCGGAGGGGGGGGAGGGGAAGGGTGGGGGACACGGGGGAAGGGGGAATAGAGAGCGGGGAGGGAGAGGAGGGAAAAGGGGGGGTGGAGGGTGGGGGTGGTAGATGAGGAGGGAGTAAGAGAGGGAGGGGGGGAGTACGAAGGGGGAGGGGAAGCCGGGGAAGTACGAGGAAGTGGGGGATGATGGGGGGAGTGAAGGAAGGGGAGAAAAGGGGTATCGACACGTGGCTAGGAAGACAGCGCGAGCAGTTGGAACATGAATAGCCCTAATAACCACGTGGGCACAAGGCGGCGTTACCACGTGTCGCCTCAAGGATCATTTCACCAGACACAGCGCGGTGGTATGTGTGTTGTGTTGTGGTGGACTGACCCTGAGCAGCGCGCTGTCCCGCGCGTCGCCGTACTCGTAGCGGATCTCGTTCTTCAGCCCCACTCGCGGCAGCTCCGGCAGCCCCGCTGCCACCACCGCCGAGTCCGTCGCGGGTGCGGGCTGGCGCGCGGGTGAATGGCGGGAAGAGGAGGTGGTGGAGAAGAGAGAGGGGGAGGTGGGGGGCGCGAGGGAATGGGAGAAGGGGGAAAAGTGAGGCGGAGTTGGAAACCCCACTGTCGCTGCGCCCGAGGGCGCAACGCGCCGGGGGGCGGAGAGAGAGGCGGGGAGGAGTTGAGGAAGTATCAATGGGAAGAGGGAGGGGAAAAAGCGAGGGAATAAGGGGATAGCCGGGGGGAGCAGGCGGGAAGCGGGAGACTTGTTCCATTCCGCCAGAGCAATAACCGCCCGCCCCTTCCCTCCCGCGCAACCCCGCAATCCAGCGAGCAGCGCGCAAGAAACGCCTGCACCCCTTCCCCCACTCGCAACCCCTTTCCCGGCTCTACCCCAGCACTCCGCGCGCCGCTCCTCCCTGCTTACCGCCAACCGCGCCCACCCCCGCCAGCCTCGGCGGCTCACCTCCGCTTGCGCCGCTCGCGCTCCGCGCGTGAGCACCAGGTGCACCGTCTCCGCCTCCGCCACTCCACCCTTCGCCCACGGCGCGCGCCAACCTTCCGCCGACTGCCCCCCTCCGCCCGTGTCGCTTCCGCCGCCGCTGCTGTCGGTGGATGGTTCGCTTGAATTCGATGACGTGTCACTGCCTGACGAGGACTTATCACTGCCTGACGATGACGTGTCACCGCTTGACGAGGACTTGTCACTGCCTGACGATGACGTGTCATTGCTTGACGATGACTTGTCACTGCCTGACGATGACGTGTCACCGCTCGACGAGGACTTGTCACTGCCTGACGATGACGTGTCACCGCTCGACGAGGACTTGTCACTGCCTGACGATGACGTGTCATTGCTTGACGATGACTTGTCACTGCCTGACGATGACGTGTCACCGCTCGACGAGGACTTGTCACTGCCTGACGATGACGTGTCATTGTGTGACGATGACTTGTCACTGCCTGACGATGACGTGTCACCGCTCGACGAGGACTTGTCACTGCCTGACGATGACGTGTCATTGCTTGACGATGACTTGTCACTGCCTGACGATGACGTGTCACCGCTCGACGAGGACTTGTCACTGCCTGACGATGACGTGTCATTGCGTGACGATGACTTGTCACTGCCTGACGATGACGTATCACCGCTCGACGAGGACTTGTCACTGCCTGACGATGACGTGTCATTGCTTGACGATGACTTGTCACTGCCTGACGATGACGTGTCATTGCTTGACGATGACTTGTCACTGCCTGACGATGACGTGTCACCGCTCGACGAGGACTTGTCACTGCCTGACGATGACGTATCACCGCTCGACGAGGACTTGTCACTGCCTGACGATGACGTGTCATTGCTTGACGATGACTTGTCACTGCCTGACGATGACGTGTCATTGCTTGACGATGACTTGTCACTGCCTGACGATGAACTGCTGCTCGATGAGCTTCCGTCCGACGTGGAATTCGATTTCTCACTGCCGCCCGCCGCCGATCCGCTGCTCTTGTCACCGCTGCTGCTGCTACCGCCACTACTGCTGCTACTGCTGCTGCTGCTGCTGCTGCTATTGCTCTTGTCACTGCTGCTACTGCCGCTACTCTTGCCTTTGCTGTCGCCCGCACTCGTCACATTCGTCGCAGAATCTTTGCTGCTCGTCGCCAGCGTCGCCGACGCTTCGTTCGGCCCCGAGTACTGTCGCAGGCAGAAGGGAGTGGGAGGGACGGGAAAGAATGGCGGGAAGGCTGGGTAAGGAAGCGGGGCGGATACACGTCGAGTAAGAGGAGACGCAATATCGAGGATGGATACCGTCGGGGACAACGGGGTAGAGCGTGAGTGAAAGGGGGGAAGGGTTGACTCGAGACAGCTACAGAAGGGAACGAACGGACGGAACGGGGAAACGGGTGTATGGGACGAGGGCGGGGGGGGAGGCGGAAGGGCGGAAGAGAGCTGGAGGGAGAGGAGGGGCGGGCGAGGAAAGTTAACAAGTGTTGCGGAGAGCGGAAGGGGGAGAGGAGGAGTAACGGGGGACCGACTGGGACGTGAAAAGACGAGTGGAGGAGAGGCGGCGTCGCCGGAATAGGAGTCGGCGAAAAGCCTTCGTTTCGCTTCTAACGCCTGTAACGTGTCGCCAGCACGAGGTGAGCACGAGCGCCTCCCAGGACTACGAGTTCCGAAACCCACGCAACATCAGTGTGGGAGCTTCATAAGGCGACTTTAAGAACCCCGGACTTACGAGGCGAATTCGGTTCTAAGAGGCGAGGTCGGGTCTATGATGGGAATCGTGTGTTAGAAGACCTACCTGTGCAAAGGAGGGGAAAAAGGGGAAGTAGGCGCGGGTGGCGCCCACGAGCAGCGCGGAGCGGCGGGCGCGCGCGGGAGCATCACGGGCTGGAGCGAGCGGCCCCGCAGGGGGCGAGAGCGGCGAGTGGCCGCACGACAGCAGCGCGAGCAGCAGCAGCGCGGGGCGCAGCAGCCGCAGCTGCCGCTCCGCCACGTGCTGCGCGCACCGCCTGCCGCATCTGTCGCCGCCTAATCTGCTCCGTTGGCGCGAGTCCTCGACGCTACTAGTACCCAACTTTCTATTTGGCTCCGCGGACCAACATTCGCTGCTTCTACGCTGTCCCCTTTCGGCGCTAGCTCGAGACTGAGCTAGTTCGTGTCCGCCGCCGCAACTGCCAGCGCATCGCCCGCTCGCGACGCGGTCGGCACCGCTATCTATCGCGCCACCTGGTGGGCTATCTGTGCTACAACCGCCGCGCTGAGTCACAGCCGGCTCTGCCGTGCCCATGCCGTCGCGTTCTCCCGCGCCCCCTGTGCTGACATCGCGGCCGCCGCACTGCGCGCCGTCGCTGGACACACGGAGGCAACGGGGCTTCATCGTTGTTCCTTATGTGGTGCAGCGTGGCCCGCACGATCCAGCCACGTGAATTTTGCGCCCCTGCTAGGGCGAAAGCCCTCGCTCTAGTTCTAGTGATCGCTGATAACTACTAGCCGTTCGCTATTCGCTGAATTCACATTCTAGACACGACGCCAGCGCCTTGATGCCTGTACATCCAGCCGCGGCTCGCTGTGCTGCGGCATGCCGACGCGAACGTAACTACAGTTCTAATCAGTAACCAGTAGCTAATAGCTGCTATGAGTGGGATTCGTCACGAGGGTGGACAGCTGCTGAGTCCTCGGCAAGTGTGATCAAGCCCCGCGCAACTCGGAGATCCACGGCGCGGAAGCAGCGCAAGGCGTGCGCCGTGGGCGGGGGGCGTTGAGATGCGGGGATGCGCGCAAGGTCACGCCCTTGAGATGGTATGGGAGGAAGCGGTCAACTCAGTTTTGCTACCGTCTCCTCCTTGTGCTCCTGGTGCTCTCTGCTCTCGTGCACAGATCTCCGTCAGCTCAACTGTACGCCTTTCTTCCCTTCCCTGCTCTAGCCTACTATTCCGTCTAAGAGGCTTTGAGGGAGGGCTGGGTGGCTGGGCACGAGCTAGTGTTTTGCGGCGCACTGGGTGGGATGGGATGGGATCCTAGGAGGGCAGTTCGTCGAAATTCCGTGTGCTCTACCTGCCCACCGCGCACACTGGTCGCTGTCATGTGAGAGCCACTCGTTCGATTCCGCCAGGACAGGACCCTGTGCTGGGCGAGCTTCGCCGCGTGCAAAGTGTTCAGCCTGGAGAGTGCGCAGCGCAAGCAGGGCAAGTTCCAGATGGTTCCGCCTAGGCGCGGATTGCGCGCCTGGTGGATGTTTGAGGAGCTGTTGACCAGCCAATGGCTGGACCACCGCCGTTTGTTGCCCTAGCTGGCCCCAGGTTGTTCTTGACGAGCCGCAGGTTCTCTTCGCGAACTCCACGCTCTGCAAGAAGGCTGCCAGCTTGGGCGTCGCAGGGCACTTCGCCGACATGATTTGGTGGACCGCAGCGACCACTGTCGGTTGCTACGAAAAAAGACCTGTACAGGGTGTTTTCCAGACGTACTTTGCGACACAGCGAAATTCCGGTTACGAAACAGTTTACCATTTTGTAGATATATTTAACACAGAACACTTGTTGGATAATATCTGAGCTACCAGAGTTTCTGCTGGTGCACCTTAACGCGTATGCCGCCTACATTCGATTCAATCCCTCATTCTAATCATCAGTAGCCCATATTTCGCGGCTCCCCGCACTTGGTTCTATCCACAAGATGACTACTCGCGTCGCACCCTTACCAGTGCATTTCGCACCTCCGCCATGGGCCGGAGATCGCGGTAAGCCTGATTTCTCCTCCATTCATCCACGGTAGCACGGACGGCGTGGCTTCGCCAGTACGTTGACTTGCGCCGTCCTCACCATCCCTCGTTTTCTCCCCAGCCAGCTTTCCCAGACGTCCGTTGTCTCATGCGGACCCTACTTGTCGCATTCCTACTCGGCGGTTTCCCACCTGCACGATGGCATCATGGCCGTGCCAAGCTGTCGCAGAGCCACGAGATACATCACATTGACATGTCATGGTTGCTGCCACCACAACTTCTCGAGTGCTGCTGTGTTTGCGATTTCTGAGTCGACTCAACACAGAAGGTGTCGCCCGCTCATTGCCTACAGTGCTGTCGTGTTTGCGTGCAGCGCAGGCAGCGAGGCGTGCAGCAGAGAGGCACGCGGCAGAGACCGGCTCCGAACGATCTCGTCTCCCATGCCGCGCGCGCATGAAGCGCGTGGTGCGGAGAGAGGGAAGGGGGCACGGGGTGGCGATCCGCAGTGCTCCGCGCTTTTTCTTCAGCGCACGCACGGCTGTCGCCGACTCGTCCCGCGGCGACCTTTCTAGGGGCGGTTTCGTGGCAACAGCTGCTGCTGCTGAGACAGGGGGGAGAGCAGCCGGGTGTGACAGTATCGAGCGGATCGCAGAGCTGATTCGCCGCACGCATGCACCTGAGCGCTATGCGCATGGCAGCGCGGGACGCGGGGAAGGCACAGCTGAGAGGGGGAGTGCGGTGGTGCACGAGGGGCATGCGGAGGAGCCATTGCGGTCACTGGACGCAGGGCGGTGGGTGAAGCTCATTTGCGGGGCCAGCTTCGAGGTGAGCCGCGGATTGGTGCTGATTGTATTTTGAGTGGACCGAAAATATATGATTGGCATGGCATGGGGCACAGCTGCTGCGATTGCTTGAGGTGGGGCGGTGGCGGAAACTCATTCGCGGGGCCAGCTTTGGGTGAGGTGCGGGTGTGTTGAGAGTGGTGGTAGTGGAAGTGCAATGTGAGCAGAGTGGGAATGCACGAGGGGCAGGTGGCACCGTGGCAGAGCCGTTTCACTCACTGCACGAGGGGCGGTGGTAGTCTTGAAGCTCATATGACGTGGGGGCAGCGCAGCTTCGAGGTGAGCTGTGCGTGCTGCTGTCACTCACGGCTTCCCTTTTCAGATTCCCTGTGGGCTGTGCCTGCCTGCACCTGGACCGTGCTGCCAACGCATCCCCCCCTCCCTGTGTCTGCTACTATGAACAGGCACGCCTGCCCGTGCCTCACGCCTGCCCTCTGCCCCTGCGCTGCACTCTCCTTCCCCCTCGGCCCCTCGTGTCTTCCCCACACGCGGCCACGCCCCAACCACACCAGGACGTGACGTGGCAGACGGGCACAGCCTTGCAGTCATCTACACCCTCTCCTCGCAGGCGGTGCTTTTCACAGCTCACCTTTGACGCCACTTAGATGCCCTCGTGCTCGCTCACAGCCCTGTGCGTTGTGCGTGCTCGTCTGCCCTCTCCTTTCCCCCTCGCCCCTCTTGTCTCTCCCCCAACGCCCCCACCAGGACGTGGCAGATGTGCGCAACCTCACCTTCATCTACACCCTACGCGCGAACACACCTTGCTGCCACTCTCCGTCTTCCCCGCGCCTCTTGCGCCTCTCCCCCCCACGCCCCCACCACACCAAGACGTGGCAGATGTGCGCAACCTCAACTTCATCTACACCCTACGCGCGAACACACCTTGCTGCCGCTCTCCGTCTTCCCCGCGCCTCTTGCACCTCTCCCCCCCACGCCCCCACCACACCAGGACGTGGCAGATGTGCGCAACCTCGCCTTCATCTACACCCTTGCAGGTGGTGCGTGCTGTGCTGTGCTGTGCTGGGGTGGGATACGCACTGCCATGCTCGAGGTACAGTGGTGGAATGCTCATGAGGTACGGTGAGATGCTGATGAGGTACGGTGAGATGCTGATGAGGTACGGTGAGATGCTGATGAGGTACGGTGAGATGCTGATGAGGTACGGTACGGTGGAATGCAGTTATGAGATGGGAAGTCATGATGGCAGGCAGCACAGCAGCACTGCTGCCCACACCCCATCCTCTGTTTCTGATGACCGGGGGAAAATGTTCACTAGGTGGGAGCAAGCTTTTTACGGGCTCATATCCATGCCAAGGGCCCTTACACCGGCTGGAATGAGAGAAGCACTCAAGGTGTGGTGTAGGATGGGAAGCCATGTCATGTCATGATGCACGTTCTTCCTTGTCGCCTTCAAAGCACCACGGGTGCTTGGCATCGGCTTTGCAGCAGTGGCAGCAGTTGCTGAGAAGCGGTGGCAGCAACTCGTCTCACTCACTCACTCAATCACTCACTCTCTCACTCACTCACTCACCACACTCACTCACTCACTCACTCACCACACTCATCTTTCTCTCGCCCCCTGTATCCCTCCCTCATCTCGCCATCGTCCTTTCACCCTCAAAACCCATCTCCCCTTCACTGGACTGCACAGACCTTGCGGCAGAGCTACCAGTGGTTGTGGCAGCACGTATCAACCTATCCTAACATTCTCCCACGCACCGCGCTCCTCATCCGCTTATCCGCACCCCCACCCCGTCCTCCCCCCCAGTGGACTGCATAGACTGTGCGGCGGACACAGCAGTGGTGGCGGCAGCATGTCTCAACCTATCCATCTCCCACGTATCGCCCTCATTATCCCCTTATCCCTACCCCCACCCCATTCTTTCCCCCAGTGGACTGCATCGACTGTGCGGCGGAGCCAGCAGTGGTGGCGGCGGCAAGGGACGGCATCAATGCCGCCACGGCCTGGGCTGCACGCACCCTCATGGATGGCCGCGTGTATGGGGGGGAAGCGGCAGCTGCCCAGAGGGACGGGCGCGTGGGGGAAGCAGTAGGGCAGTTGAGGGGTGGGAGTGGGGGGGAGGTTGCAGGTGAGGGAGTGGGGGACGGCAGGGCTGGAGGGGGGAATGGGGAGGGAGGGAGGCGGCCATGGGTGATGGTTAGTGTGAGCGATGGGCAGGACCCGCACTTCCGCAAGGCAGGTGCGTGCTCCCATCAAGCAGGCTTGCAACCCAGTTGGGTTGCTTGAGTGGGCTTCAGGGCGAGCTGGGCTTGGGTGCTTTGAGAAGTGCATGCCTCTCTCTGCATGCCTCTCTCTGCATGCCTCTCTCTGCATGCCTCTCTCTTTATGCCTCTCTCTGCATGCCTCTCTCTGCAGCTGTACCAAGCCACATCTGCTTGTTGCACGTGTAACCTTTCCCCTCCTCTCTCTCCAAACCATCCATTGATCTCTCCGTCACTCCCTCTCCCCCCCTCCGTTCCCTCCTTCCACTGCCCGCACCGCACCAGTATTCGACGCCTCTGTCTGTCCGCCCACCTGCCCTCGGCCCTGTGAGCGAGTCTGCCCCGCCGCTGCCATCCGCTTCCCACCCACTGCCGCAGATGCTGGCCCCACTGCCGCAGATGCTGGCCCCACTGCTGCACAGGCCAGCATGGCCGGAAGCAGCAGCAGCAGCAGCAGCAGCAGCAGCAGCAGCGCTGGGGTGATAGCAGAGCGGTGCTACGGCTGTGGCCGATGCATCCCTGTATGCCCCTTGGCTCTCATCTGTACGTCTGTCCTTCCTTATCCCCATAACCTTTTACCGCAAAGGGTGGCACGCTGCATTTACCAGTGCCAGCCGTACGGCACTTTGAATCACATCACAGCTGCCCCAGTTGCGCCCGTATACCCCTTCCCGCCCAGCCCATGGTGTCTGCCCTCGCCGCCACTCATACACTCTCAAAACCGTGTCTCCATACCTCTCTGCGTGCCATACGTCCCACACCTCTCGAGCTGTCTGTCTTTACGTCAACCATTGCCTTGCCCTTCTCTCTGCCTCCTCCCCTCTGTCTTCCTCCTCCCTTCTCTTTGCCTCCTCCCCTCTGTATTCCTCCTCCCTTCTCTTTGCCTCCTCCCCTCTGTATTCCTCCTCCCTTCTCTCTTTGCCTCCTCCCCTCTGTATTCCTCCTCCCTTCTCTCTTTGCCTCCTCCCCTCTGTATTCCTCCTCCCTTCTCTCTTTGCCTCCTCCCCTCTGTATTCCTCCTCCCTTCTCTCTTTGCCTCCTCCCCTCTGTCTTCCTCCTCCCTTCTCTCTGCCTCCTCCCGTCTCTCTGCCTGTGCATGTGCGTGTCTTTCTCTTTGTCCCCCTCCCCCACTCTCCCTCTCGCCCCCATCAGCGGCAGAGGAGCACCAGCGAACAGAGGAGGACACGTTGAACCTCCTGAGAAGCGGGCTTGTTGATGCCATCGAAATACACACTCTGCCAGGGTAATTCACCCCATGTGATTCCCTACCCTGACAAATTTGAACAGCTGCCACCTGTTACCCAGTTAAACCCTTGCACAAGTTTGCACGTTTTACCCACTGGTGGTGAATCTCTGCATAGAGCTGTATGTATCCCCATGCGCTTCTCTCCACGTCATCCATCCAATCACGTGCAGCCACCTGGACGAGTTCAACGCCTTGTGGGCATCCATCGGTGTAGCAGCAGGGGCCCTCAAGCTGGTTGCTGTGAGTCGTTCACCCACTTTCCAGCTCTGATTCGTTTAAAAACTAGTCAAGACCGACGAATTTGTGGTCCTAATTTGCTCCTCTCTTTCAGGCATTCACATTCTCATGCATCTCCCCGTCCTTCCTCTCTCCTCTCTTTTACCTCATTCCCACGTTCGCTCACTCTTCCTCTCCTACTTCTCCTCTCCCAAGTATCTTCGTCCCTCGCTCCCACTCTCCCTTGCCTACTACCACACTATCCCTGTATCCTGCCTCTCTTCTCTCGCTCCCTCTCATCTTTTCCTCGTTCTTTCATTTCTCCTCCTCCTAGTTGACTCGGCCAGACCTAGTACACACCCCATGCAATTTACCACACACCACACCACGCCTTCCTCTTTCCTGTCCCTCTTATCATTCCATCCCACCATTCCGCGTTCCTTGGTCCCTCGCCGCAACCCCTTCCCCCCCCATGGGCATGCAGGTGAGTCTGCCAGACCTGGGGGAGAGCATGCAAGCTGCCATGCATGCCATGCACCGCACCATGCTCCCACAGCTCTGTGCCGCCAATCTCTGGCAGGTATGGTATGGCACTCTCTCCTTTTTTTGTCGACCCCGGAACCAACAGCCTGCCATGCATGCCATGCACCGCACCATGCACCGCACCATGCACCGCACCATGCACCGCACCATGCACCGCACCATGCACCGCACCATGCACCGCACCATGCACCGCACCATGCACCGCACCATGCACCGCACCATGCACCGCACCATGCACCGCACCATGCACCGTACCATGCACCACACCATGCACCGCACCATGCACCGCACCATGCACCGCACCATGCACCGCACCATGCACCGCACCATGCACCGCACCATGCACCGCACCATGCACCGCACCATGCACCGCACCATGCACCGCACCATGCACCGCACCATGCACCGCACCATGCACCGCACCATGCACCGTACCATGCACCACACCATGCACCGCACCATGCACCGCACCATGCACCGCACCATGCACCACACCATGCACCGCACCATGCACCGCACCATGCACCACAACTGCTGCACTCCAGCTTTCTTTTTCTCTCTCCCTTATCATTTCTCCTCTCCCACGCTTTCCTTTCTCTCTTCCCTTTTTATTCCCCCACCCTCTCCATCCCTCCCCCCAGTTGGACGGGCGCCCTATGAGTGGGGACATAGGTGCCGGAGCGACACGTGCCGCCGTGCGATTGGCTGCCAGGGTGGCGGCACTCCAGGACAGGCCACCAGGTGGGATGCAGGTTCAACCAGGTGCGTGCTTACGTGATATGGCACGTGACTTGGCAGTGAAGGTGGGGTGTTCATTGCCTGTGGCACCTAGTGGCTCGTGGTTTTTGCTGCTGAGGAACCAACCATATTTGTGTGATCCTCCTCCATCTCTCCCATCTCAAGCATATCCCTTTCCTCACTCCTATCATTTTCTTTTAACTGTCTCCCTGCTCACTCCACTTTTCCCCTCTCTCACCCCCTGTATTAGCAGGTTACTTGCAGATAGCAGGCGGGACCAACAGTCACACGGTCACGGCATTACAAGCTCAAGGGCTGCTGCCTGCTTCTGCTTCTGGTGCGTGCTATCCCGCGTTGCCGCTGCTCCCACTACACCACAGCAGTTGCCGCCACAGCAGTTGCCGCCACAGCAGTTAAACCGTCCTCGTCTTGAGTCATCCCAGAGGCACCTTGCTGCTGCTTACATCAACGCCGCTGCAGGCTGTCCTCTCCTTGGCTCGTCCTCACCTTGGCTCGTCCTCACCTTGGCTCGTCCTCACCTTGGCTCGTCCTCACCTTGGCTCACCCCCGTTTCTGTTTTCTGAGCAGCCTTGCCTCAACAATTATGCCACTGCAGTCAGCATGCCATGAGCAATTCTCTCTATCGCTCTCATTCCTGCCTGCTCATTCCACTGCTTTTTAATCATCCTGCACACCTCTCTCTCGCACTGATCTTTCCCGAGCTCATCTCTCCCACACTTATCTCTCCTGCTCGTACCTCTCACCAGAGTGGCTTTTTAGCAAGTCGCTGGAGGTGCTTGCATGCCAATGCATCAAGCTGTCCTCTTACACAGACCCAGCACCAACAATAGAAAACCAACTTGCAGAGCACGAGCACATGTGTGCATGCAGTTCTCGCCCTGCAGCACTAGAAACGCGCATGCCCATGCGTTTTTCAGACGTCTCTTTTGTGTACTCTTCTCGTTGCTCTGCAATGTCCCGCAGCTTCTGTTGGCGCGCCTCAACCGTGCACACTCTCCCATCCCATCGCCTTGCAGATCATGCCCCCACAGTCGCAGGCGTTGCGTTTGGCGGACATGCACGCAAGGCAAGTGCTCTTATGGTTAATGCCATGTGTAACAAGGATGTAGCCTAGAATGTCATGAGCACTCACTCTCTATGTGTAAAGCTTCTTGTTTGTTGTGTCCAACGCCTGGTTCTTGTGATGTGATGCGGGCGCCCTTCTGAATCCTTCCTACACGGTAGTGCATTTCTGCCAAATGTCGCAACCCACTGCACACCACACATCCATCGCCCACACAGATTCTGGCTCCAGTCCTTGCCCGTCTTGAAGCTGCCCCGCCAATCACTACACACACGGTTGCTGCAACCACACCACCCATCGCCCTGTCAAAATCTCCATTGCACGTGGAGAGTCAGCCGCCTCTTCTGCTCGATGCACTGGAGCTTGCATGTGCTCTCGTTCATCCGTACAAATTACCGTCTCCAACATAGTCTTGCTTGTTTGGAGAGATGTTTGCTTGCTGTTTATATGGACATGCATGATTTTGAACTGTGCATAGGTTGTACCAAAAAAACTCAATGTGTGCGCATGGCCCTCGCTCGGTTCATACGCTATTCTGTCTCAATAGCCAGCCCTGCAGCAGCAGGGTTAATTATCTTGAATGGGCCGCGTAGCTGCCCTGATTCTTGTAGAAAAGAGAAAACATTCCGTTTTGTGCTTGTCTATAGGTGGGTTTTTTGTTTTCTTCTAATCCATCGTCACTGCTGATGTAAATATTCAATCTACAGCATGTTACACTACAGTAGTTAAAGTCGAAGAATAATAAAACGGGCGCTTCTATCGGAGCAGGTCAGATATCTCCTTGAACCGAGTCGATGCAAATCCCCCGACGCCACTGTTGACTTGGTTGTGGTGGATTTCGTCGGACGAAGCCACTTCCATGGCATCTTCGACAGTAAATGACCTGAAAAAGTCTTGTGGGCTTGCTTGCCGCATTCGCGTTAGTGGCAGTTCTGCAATCGTACATTTTCTTTACAGACGCTCCAAGCGCCAACGTTCTCACGAACGAGCAGGTTACTTACTCAGACGCTGACGTATATCCGAGCAAGGAGAAATGCAAGGTTTCGGAAAGTCCTCCGGTAGAACTAGATCCGATTTGCTGGTGGTCCGGGGATCATGGCGGGTATAGCGGGAGCGAGCCGCCGGGAACCAGCACCGACACGATCAATGATGGCGGGGCGCAGCGAGAAGGGTCAGCGCGGAAGGACGGTCCTGGCAATCAGACAACTCCTTCTCGAATACCAGGTTCTGGCAGCCAGGCAGGAACATCGGAGAAAACCCTAAGCGAGAGAAATACTCGGAGGCGGCGGAAGGGAGGCGTTTTGATATTCGGCGGCGGGTGTCGTCGCTGCACGGTTGGCGAGCCGTGCGCTTTCGAGATCGCCATCCGATCGCCTGCCAAATGGGTGGCTCGCGCACGCGGTACCGCCTCCAGCTATAGTACTGGAGGTGACAGCAGTGGTAGCGACAGGTATAACGCCGGCAACAGCAGCAATAGCAGCAGCAGCAGCAGCAGCAGCAGCAGCAATAGCAGCATCATTAGCAGCAACAGCGGCACGCGGATGGGCGTGGGTGGATTGCGCGAGTCGCTTGTGGTGAGGCTGGTGGGCCCTGCCTTGGCTGTAGCGGATGTGACTACAGAGAAGGGTGACGTCACGCGATGGCGAGTCACGTACCGATTGTGGGACGCGGGCAACTACAGGTGCGCCTCGCTCTGAAAAGGGCCCCTTTTTCCCGGAATGAGGGGGAAGGTCAAGGAGGAAGGTCAAGGTTGGATGGGGAAAAAGGGGGAAGGTGGATGAGGGGATAAAGGGAATTAGGATCTTAAGGTCGGGAAAAAGGGAGTGAGGGAATGCGGATTTTTTCTCCCTGATAATGTTTTCTCGTCAACTCTCTCTTGAGTCCAGCCCCTTCAGAGCTTACTACCTCCCATGAATTAACTTCCCAGAAACCCTCCCTTCTCACTGGTTCCTCACAAGGCTAAAGGCCTTATTTTTTCGGGGTGAAGGAGAAGGGAAGGAAGAAGGGCAAGGCTGGATGGGGAAAAAGGGGGAAGGGGAATGAGGGAATAAAGGGAAACTGGGAAGGGAAGGATTGCTGAATCTTCCTCCTTGATTTTGTTTCCTCCTTAACTCTCACTTCAAGCCACCCCTTCACATTCCCACTACCTCCCGTAAATGAGATTTCCAAAACCCAGCCTTTCCCATCGGTTCCTCTTTCCCCGACGCCCCACCAAATCAGTGTCCTGGTCCAATCAGAGTGCGACACGCTGGACTTTGCTCCCACCTACTTATCGCGAGTGAAGAGCACGGGATCACATGTCATGGCACAGTGGGTCCTCACCGTCCTCCCACCCTTCCAACCAGCTACCGAACCAGCCACCGAACCTCCTACCGAACTAGCTCCCAAACCAAACACCACGCAAGAAACCGAGCGAGCTACACATCCAACGACTGGACCAGCTACGCCTGGTCAATCTCAACCCAGCAACATGTTTTCCCCAGATGCAGATTCGCCGTGCGACGATTCCATCCACGGCCGCTGGCTGTTCAATGCTCAAACGCAAGCCTACACGTGGCAGCTATACCCCTGCGCGTCCCCCCTCCCCCCCCACCTTCCCACTGGCTCTCCGCCCTCCAATCCCGGGGCATTTTTGAAATTAACTTTGTGGGAGACTCGCATGTGCGCTTCCTCCTGCACCACCTCTTCTACCTGCTCACCGGCGAGGTGAATGATGTTGGGAACAAACAATCTTAAGCGCCTCTGTCGTGTCGAAACACCAAGGCACAAGCGAAGCAGAGCATATCGAGGCACCAGCGAGTCAACCCTCGGAGGTTGAAGTAACCGCTGGAGGTTACGCGAAAGTCAAAGGTCAGCGACCTTTGACTTGACAAATGCAGCGCGACAGCAAGGACACACAACTGACTCGACATTGAGCAGTTGCCCGAGTCACAGTGTATCGAACCGCAACAGTAAAACAGTTTAATTATATCTCTTCGTATTCTTTGTACCGTCACCCCCCGGATATACCCCCATGGGGGGCTATAATATAACATGTTTTTTTGAGGGGGTGGGCTTATAATATAGTAAATTTATAAGCGCCGGCGTTTATAATTTGTCAAAATTGAATTTTGTTTTTAAATATACCAAATCGAAGCATTCTCAAAGGCGGATTCACCTGGGTCGAGAACGTTCGAAACTGTGCATGCATTGCGCGTGAAACGGCCAACAAGGCGTGGCTTCACGCCTTCCACGCCTTGTTGGCCAGGCCAGGTTCATCGAACGTGAACCTGGCCCATGCCAGTGCACACGTACCTCGCATCACAGCGGCCCAATCAGGGTTGCATGCGATCGTGGGCACGTCGTGGTTCAGCCACGGTGTGCCCATCAACAGCAAAATTCCCCGCCACCGAGGCAAGGAGCTGCCCAGCTCAGCTCCTCTGCGGGGAATCTTGACTGGGGCCACCCTTTTCCCGCAGAGGAGGCCGGGCCGCGAAAATGAAGGGGTCTCGGGCGAGGGCTTCATACAACCCTCATTCTCGACTTTAACCTTCAGTTTCTTTGTTCGTTTGGCCTGCCGTGGCCATGGCGGGCCTTCCACGCACGCATTTCTTGTTCCGCCGCCATCCTGCTGCCAGAGAAAACACCCGCCGAGACACCTGTGACTACTCTCAATGGCAGTCGCGCCCTGCGCCCGTCCCTCCGTGTCAACCAGTAGCTCCTCCCGTTCCTCCCACTCCTCCAACTCCTCCTGCACCTCCCGCTCCCCCGGCGCCTCCGGTTCCTCCAGCTCCTCCGTCCCCTCCTGACCCGCCTGTGTTTGGTGCTCCACGTCAGGGGGTCCTGCAGCTTCTCCTCCCTCCTGGCTACTCGGCGTTTGACGCGTACCTGTCCGAGCCCGTCAGGGGGCAGTGAAGCCGTTCGTCCACACCAAGTTTGGAGTGAGGCCCCGCAAAGCGATGCTCGTCTTGGATTCGTACCGCGGGCACCTGACTGCGGAGGTGAAGAAGAAGTTCGGGGAGCTGAACATCGTCCCTGCCGTTATCCCAGCTGGCTGCACCTCGGAGATTCAACCTCTGGACGTCGCGGTGAATCGCTCCTTCAAGGCATCCGTTCGACAGCTCTACCAGGAGTGGTTCGAGAGCGAGGGGGTCGACACCTTGACAAAGAAAGGTGAGAGAGGCAGGCCATGCGTGTGCTGCTTTATCAGTTTGTAGCGGTGGCTGACTTTTGATTGTTTAAATTTTATGGCAGGCAACATCAAGAAGCCACCACCCGAGCTAACGCTCAAGTGGATATCAGCGGCTTGGAAGGCCGTGCCCAGGGACTTGATTCAACGGGCTTTCCTCACCTGTGGCATTAGTAACGCCCTGGATGGGTCCCAGGACAAGATCTGCCTGCAACACAGGCGCGACGAGCTTGAGGGCGACGAAATAGACATCGACGACGACATTGCAGCAGATGGCTTTTTCTGCAACAACGTAGAAGAACCAGAGTCGGACTCTGAGGCCGACCCGGATG